GTGGCTCCTTTGGATAGTTATGTAAGTTCCAAATGATAGTTTTGGAAGACAGATTCTTCCCAAGCAATAGTAAAAACAAAACAACGACAAAAATATAAATTTGAGTAGCTATTCCTTATGAGAAAGTAGTTTAAAAATAATCTTAATTTTTAAACATATATAAATATCATTTTAAATAACCACAAAATCAAATCAGAAAAGTTTAAAGTTCTAGAAAATATGATTTTCTGAGATAGAGGACTAAAAAGTGTAGATATCCAGTATCTTACCTAACAACAACAATCATTTTATAAAGTCTCGGACCAGGGAATTTTGATGTCTTACTAAAGAACAAAAGAAAGTAAATTTACTGTCTGATTAGGGAAGTGAGGGCCTGAACATTCAGATTTTATACTGGGTTTTCAAATAAAATAATTATCCTCTTTCGAGAGGCGCTCTTGCTGACTTCCTAGAGAACATTATCAATGACTAGAGGCTTTATCTCTAGCAATCTCATTCCCAGAAGTCCTAAGCCCTGAAGTTCTTCCCAATGGCCTGGCATCCAGGGAATTCACTTGATCTGCTGGGCAGAGACATTTCAAACTCGGGGAACACATGATGGGAATTTAGTTTTATGTGTCCCAGAGATATGTAATTCTCTTTGGAGGTTTTACTTGATAATAGCTCTGCCCCAGAAAACCATCTTGTTTAACCAATGTGATAAATTGACAATGTAGTTTTTCTCTCTGATTATAATGTACTCTGTGTAGTCAATACACTGGTACCATGTGAGTGTAATTTCCTCTTTTATTTTATCTCCAATGCACTGTATTATAAATAAACAGTTAAAAAAAACACCAAACAAATCTGTTGCATCTCCTTTTAAGATTGTACCACTGTAGACACTTGTTCTAGTAAAGTAGAATTGGGCACATTTGATTGCATTTAAATTTTTCATGCTTCAGCAGTTTGGCTGGGAGCACAGTAAAGAAAAATCCCATGAGCGAGGATAGTTTAGAATAATAGAACTTGATTTTGTGTATTATAGTGGCAACATTTGCGCTGCTTTAGTTAGGGTTGTGTCAGCACTTCCATTATAAACCCCTGTTTTCAGGGGGTATAACTAGGGAGAATTTTTTTTTTTAATACAAATTAAAAAAAAAACAATTCATTCAAACGATTTTTAAGTTATAATAGTGCAAAAATAAAACAAAGTAAAGTCACATAAAAACTGACCATTTTCATGTGGATTTTGATTATTTATTTTGCTTATTAGTTGTAAAGTAAGGTATTCAAGTACACTGGGGGTAAAAATTTTTGTAGTGGAAAACTACTGAAATGAACATTAAAAATAAGACTAAGCATTCTGCTTGATGTTTTAAAAACAAGAAAGCAAGTGTATATTTGATTTATGAATTTGTAAAGGAGAGTGGTTTTGTTACAGTGGTTATAGTATAGGCCTTGCCAAAAGTCACATGTCTGTGATTTCTAGAATGAAGTCTAGTTGGTCTAGTAAAATGTTCGAAAAGGGAAGGGTAAAGTAAAGAAATGAAATATGCATATAATCAGTAAATGCATAGATTCTTTAATAAAGTAATTATGTAAAAATAATTAGTAAATCTAATATTTAAAAATTGTAGGCTTATTTAATAAAGTATGCATTAAAAATAATTTGTGCACATTTTCCCGTTAAAAGCAAAAAACCACCACTACAACAACAAGAAAAGACATATAGGGATACCTCCTTGGGTTTCTGAGGCGGTATCTCTACAGAAGTAGGTTGCTCAATCTTCTTCCGAGGAGTGGCTGGTGGGTTTGAACTGCCAGCCTCTGGTTAGAGTCAAATGCCTTAGGCGCTACACCACCAGAGCTCCCCTATTTAATAAAGTATGCATTAAAAATAATTTGTGCATATTTTCTCTTTAAAAACACAAAACAACCACTATAGCAACAACAAAACCAATGGAAAAAACAAACCTGAAATGTGCTCAATGATTTTATCAAAAGGAAATGCCCTCAGTGGAGTAATAACTTACTAAAAGTAACTGACCCATTTCTCTGTTAAAAATATTTTTGAGAACTATATTAAAGTTTATGCAAGAAATTGATAAGGAAAACATATTCTTGGAACAAAACTACATTAACTTCTTTGCTGAAGAGAGGAATTTCAAAGTGGAATAAGCATGCCTTCCTTGGCTGTTAGCCAATGTTGTCCTACCTTTTCCATCTCCTTGTCCCCTAATGATGCTATGAGCTGAGGTTGAACAGTCAAATTTAATATTCATTTTTTTTTTTTGGCAGCCTTTCTCCTATCGGTAACCTCAATACACATTTGTATTTGTAGGTGCAAACCAAAGACAAATTGTGTGATGTTATAAATAGGTAGCTTTCCTGAATGGTCACTGGAGGAATCACCAGACGACTGTTGATGAAGTAGAGGTGAAGCCTTTCCTCACTAATTGTATTCAGTGTGTAATTTCTAAACTTCCCTCTGAATTTTGATTTTCAATTAACACTCCCCATTTGAAGATAATTTTCTATTTAATGTAATTGCAGGAAATAATTTATTGGCTGATTAAGACTGAGGGCCCAGCCTTCCTTAAGACAACACTCTAACAAACCAGCCTTTAAACTCAACTCATAGCTTTGGACAGATTTAGTCTATTTTTACAGCTGCACGTTTGTGTTTAATTAGGATTGTGCACTATTGTTCACTGGTGCAGTTTATTGTTGAAATTTTTCTTAAGAGGCTGTTTTCATTTTGGGTTTTGTGTCATAATTAATTTATACTAATGAAACAATCACATGTATTGCTGTTGGAAAGAACCAATTTACTTTATAAGAAGAAGATGTCTGTTGGGGAGCTAAAGTCAATGTTTTAGACTATGACTTTCAGTTGTATTTAACTTTTTAAAAACAGTAGTAAATTCATGCTTTTGTTTTTAAAGTGAATAATTACATTACTGGGACTGTCATTATCTGAACTATGAAAACATTCTGTTATTTATGGCAAGTTTTTGATAAATTTGCAGAACAGTTATTTTTCAGTTACAATTTGCCTGGTCTTACTATAGTACTTATGGGACCAATAAAGTAAGCCCTAGAGTGATTCTTGTGTACCAAGAAACATCCTTTGGTATCATTTTCCACAACTGTGTGTGTATGTGTATGTGTGTGTATAGTGTGTGCGTACACACACACATACACATTTATACATTTGTCAGTATTGATAGAAATTGGTCAAGAAAGTATTTATCTAATAATTTGATATCACACTCTTCAGAATAATTAATTTCTCCTAAAAAAAAATAAGCATTCTTTTGCACTCCCTTCCCTCATTTTATTTCTAGTATCAAGTATAATAGTGGAAATTTTCATTATTTGTAGGATGATTATTATAAATAGGTATCAGCATTTTAATATGTTTCAAAGCACTTCAAAAGCCTGTAATACTTTTATTTAGAACTGTGCATAATTAGATTAACTGATCTTATATTAATTTTTTTTCACTGTAGGATACTAAATCTGAGCCCCCTCATTAATTGTGAGAAATTTAGCATTAGCTGTTAAATCCTATGTGAAACATGGGCTGCTACATAAAAACTACTGTTTAAATTGGAATTAACTTAATTATTTTTCTTTGCACTTGATATTTCCTTCACTGCAATATTCATGAAAGCATGTGACAGATTTGTAAATTTAACTGTTAATCTCAGATTTCTAGACCCTTTAATCAGTATTTATTTGTCTGTAGAAACAGTACTAGCAAGTTAATGATTTGCTAATTTGAAAAATGCTCATGTGGTTTCCTATGTTAACTGATTTGTGCATTTTTTAAAAAATGGTATGAAATCAATTAATGTTAAAGAGCAATTAAGGTGGAGATTTTATTCCTTTCGTTACACAGCAGTTTTAGAGCTAAAGATGCTATAAACCAAAAAGAACTAAAGATTTTTTTTTTTAAATATTCAATTGCCTTTCCTTTTGATGGTTTTATTTCTAACCATATTACTTAGAAAATCATCTTGATAAAGTGATATTCTTTCTCTAAGTTTTAAATTCTCTTTAATAGGCATGATTTTATAGGAAAGTAGAGAACGAAGACGTTGTGATTAGTATAGTTGATTTTCATATGTGGATACATAAATTAATATTCACTAGTTGTTTTTAGAGGTTTTAAAATATTGTGCAAAGTATGTATTTTGCAATCTTAATAGTAAATACTTTGAATTTTATATGATTTTTAATATAAAGAAGTACAGGTATTTCAGATACTTAATTCAGTTAGTACAAAATTGCCTTAAGACTAGTCTAACATTATCATCCATTCAATCAATATGTTATTTAAACATTTCTAGCAGTTCATATACCTTATATGTCTTTAGAAAAAAGATCAGATTGGTTCTAAGTGTATTTGGCCTAATACTCAGAATATAAGGTATAAACTAAGAAGTTAGGGCCAGATTTACTTTGGACTACCACTATAGATTACTTACTCTCCTGATTATATTTTCTTACATGGACTTCCTTCATTTCCAATAGAATTTTGTTCCCACGTAAACCATTAGAGAAATTTGGATATTTTAATTTTCAAATCTTCTCCCAAACTGACTCATTTGCCAGTTTATTAATTCATTTATTTAATTGCCAACCAACTGTCTTCCTAATTACTCTCAAGAAGCTTATCATCTAGTGAGGAGAATTAGGAGGAAAAGTGTACACATACATACGCAAAGTCCCCAACACATTGTACATTATGAAAACTTATTCTATAAAAATTTCATTTGTGGATTGGCAAGAGAGGAAAAAATGCAGCAATTATTGAGAAGCGGTTTGCTGAATGAAGAGAGAAAAGTTGGCAGATAGCTATTCTTTTTCAGTGGTTTAGAGTAGATCATACACATCTCTAACGTTAGAGAACTTATCTTTTTTCCTAAATTAGCCAGATGCAAGGGCCAGTTTCTTCTTTTGTTGGTGACAGCCCATTTTAACCCATGCTATTTTTCTTCTTCTGCAGAAGAATGTCTTCTAAGCAAGCCACCTCTCCATTTGCCTGTGCAGCTGATGGGGAGGAAGCGATGACCCAGGATTTGACCTCAAGGGAAAAGGAAGAGGGCAGTGATCAACATGTGGCCTCCCATCTGCCTCTGCACCCCATAATGCACAACAAACCTCACTCTGAGGAGCTACCAACACTTGTCACTACCATTCAACAAGATGCTGACTGGGATAGTGTTTTGTCGTCTCAGCAAAGAATGGTGAGTTTTGTAAAATCTGGCCACTGTCATTAGTTGTGTCAGTTAGCATGTCTTATTTCAGATAGGTGTTTAAGGGAAAGTTCAAAATACATTGCATTAGGGTTCTTTTCAGACCATGAAAACAACCCCGTGTACCTATGATTAACATATTGGTACCTGGGAAAAGTGGAGAATTATTTGTGATTTAGGTCACATTATTAGAGAAACTTGCTACAACTCTGAACTCAAGGTAGTGAACTTGGTGAGATCACAAAATAATTATGATCAAATAAAGTATGGCTGTGTGTTAGTATAAAATAATCATATTGAGCAAATATGTCTGTGTGAATGAGGTCATGGGGGAATACATCTTCAGTGAGGAAATGTAGGTATTTATCATTTTTAGTGGTCATACTTGGAATTATAATAAAGCTTTTCTCACTTATGTGCCTATATATAAATTTCAAAAAGGCATGCGAAGCTCCTGAGTATCATTCAGTCATGCTACAGGAGTTTGTCCTAAAGGTAGAAACCACGTCACATACATGCAGTGTACTATATAGCCTGATTCCCCATGTTAAATTCTGTCTCAAAACAGAAACCATAATAAGTGACATTAATTATCTAACTTGAAATATTCATTTTTTAAGAATCCAGAAGCGACCAAAACATTAATATATTTTATTAGATCCAAAATTTTAAACCCTGTTTTGCATTTCTTGGCTTTTGTTTAAGTTAATGAAAAATATTTTAAATGGGCAATGGTAAAAGTTTTATTCCTCAAATAAAAAACAAGATAATATTTTTAAATGCCTTTACTACTAAAAACCTATTTAAAATCTTGTTCTATACCTAATGTCTCAGAGCCAATTCAAAGTCTTGATTCAATAATTTATGGAGACAGGTATTTTCCTTTTCAGTTGATTTTGTAGACACAACCAGTACTCTGGAGCAGTGATTGAGAAGCAGGGAATTGGAAGATAAATAAGACTTTTCTAGAACTAATTTTAGGTTAGAAAGGGATCAACATTTTATAGTTAAATAGATTTGCCTGAAGATTTATTTTCTTTGCATGGAGGCAGAAGGTATAAAAAAGCCATGCCAATGCTCTGCTTTTCTGATTGAACGTAGTTGTTCATTTTATACCTGCCTCTAACACAGCATGAGCAAAATAGATATCCAGTCACTGCCTTTTATTCATTGGCAATATAATGGACTATGTTTCATATTCTTTTTTTATAATTTATTTATTTTTGTTGTTGAGGCTATGTTTTATTTTGATTTCAGCAAATATTTATTGAACACCTTTTAGTAGTAAAGCATTCTACAAGATGCTGGCTAACTAGTGGTAAATAAAACAGACATGTTCATGCTTTCATGGAATGCATAGTCTAGGAGAGGGAGTAGAAATTAAACACATATACACACAAATGAATATATAACTCAAATTTGGTAAGTTCTATGATACAAAAGAACAAGATGCTATTTGAGAACATAATAGTTAAACCTGATTTTGAATGGATAGTTAGGTACTGCCCTCTCTAATTATGAATGGGAGAAAGAGTAAAACGGCAGAAGGAACAGCATGTGTGAAGTCTTTGAGGTGAGAAAAATTTAACTGTGTTTAAGGAAATGAAAGATAATATTTGTGGCTGGAGTGTAATAAGTGAGAATAGAATGTACCATCAGATATATTTGGAGAGATTGGTAGGGGCTATATCAAACAGGAAGGAGTCCTGGTAGCTCAGGGTTAAGTGCTAAGCTGCTAACTGAAAGGTTGGCAGTTCAAGCTCACCAGTGACTCCATAGGAGAAAAGACCTGATGATCTGCTCCCACAAAAGGTCCAGTCTTGGAAACCCATTGGGGCCCATTCTACTCTGTCCAATAGGATCGCTTCGAGTTGGAATTGACTCAACAGCACTTGACAAAAACAACATATCAGACAGGACTTTGTAGATAATACGGAGTTTAGGTTTTATTCGAAGTTCAATGGAGAGCCAAGGAAGGGTTTAACGATGTATCACACAGATAATTCTGGCTGTGGTGTAATGACTGGATGGGTAGTAAACAAGAGTGAAAACATGAAGACTTGTTGGGAGGTTATTTCAGAAGTTCAGGTGAGACATAATAGGGGGTTGGATGAGTGGGAAGCAGAGGGGATAGAAGAAAGGGATGGATTCAAGATGTATTTTGGCTTTGATAAAAATCACTGTGGTAGTTAAGGTTGTGTGTCAACTTGGCTGGGCCTGGTTGAATAGCTGGGCAGCTGGTGGTAGTTATTCCCCATGATGAGACTGGCAATCAACTCCGTAGTGGAATCTACCACAAGCAGCTGAGTAGCTGCTTTAGGGAGGTGGTCTCCTTCTCGTATATAAGCAGCAGTTTGGGAGTGGTCTCTAACTCAGGACACGCTTGAACCCTGCATGTGACTGAGTCGTTTTTCAGCATCCTGCCATGCTCTGCCAATCTTGGGACTTTTACTGGACTTGAATTAATGGCCTGCCATGTGGTTTGGTAATATCAGGACTGTGCCTTGTTACTTGTCGACCTGGGGTTTGTCAGCCTCAGCAGTAGAAGCTGAGTGAAGAAAAGCCTCCAGCTTCAGTGGGCCGGGAACAGGAGGCAGAGTGAAGCTCGAGGTTGAGGGGCTTTCACCCAGCCCCTAGAGCCTGGCACTTTGAACTCAGACTTAAAGCCTCCAAATTGTAAGAATGAACTGTTTGTTCAAGCCATCCCATATGTGGTATATTCTTGTCAGAACGGCACTAGGTAACCAGAACAATCACTAGAATCACTGGAAAATGTGGGAGGCAATACTTCTTTAGAGAACAGTTTGTTTTTCTTAGTAAAGTTTTGTTTCTATCTTGACAATGCCAAGTTGCTTTGGTGTTATTCTCAATCTTATATGGTCTACAATTTTGTCATAAAAATAGATAAGTAATAATTTTCTTATAAAATTTATATTAAGTGGAATTTATGGTACTATAAAATGATTTGAAGTAACACATTTCTTATATAGTACTCTAAAATAGATCATACTTGCTAGAAATATTTTCAAACTTTCACTCTCTTTTGATATCAAGCATTACTTTCCACTGAAGTCCTTTGTATATTGTGAATGTCTGTAAACCAAAATATTTTGTTTTACTTCCAACTCAATAGTATATCCCAGCTGTGTATTTATATGGTGTAATAAAAGAATTTAACAAATGGAAAATAGAAATTGCATTTGGAAATTCACTTTTCATTTGATAGATTCAATAATGTGTAACAACTGTACTGTCACACCTGTAATGACTTATATTCTAAGTATCATATCTCCAACCGACTTTTATTTACAGGAGAGAAAAACAATAGAAGAATTTCAGGTTTCTGGGCAGTATAGCAAACCTGCATATAGTGTTTGTTTGTATGTGTCTGTGTTGGAGTGAGCGTGTGTGACTAAAGTAAAATTTGAGATAAACATTTTACCTCCTAAAATAAATATGAAGTCTGAAAGGATTTCTATGAACCTATAGTTCTTTACAGTGGATCATATCTTTTACTCTCTTAATTGAATCCCATAAAATAGTTGTGGGGAAATAAAATGTAAATGAAATTCCAAAATAACAAACAAAAAATATTCTGTAAGCACCTCTTCAGTTTTCATTGCTAGTCACTTTTTGTGATGGTCCTCCTTCATAGACAGTTAGAAACAGGCACTAAAAGTTCTTATCTCTTGCTTTCAGGAAGGGTTTTACTTTGAAATATCAAGACCACAGAGGAACTTTTCTATAAGTGAGGATAAAGACAAAGCAAAGAAATTCTGCTAATCCCTACTTACTTATTAGGAAAAATAAAATAAAAATCTATGAATGTTAAAATTTTGATTAATTATTTTGAGATGATACTTCAACAAAAGAGGAAACCACATAGTTTCAAACAAGGAAATAAATTTATTTTGCCATAAACAAAGAGAATGGAAATTTTAGATATAGGCATTTAAGGACCGATTTGAGATAAAAAATTTAGACTGTGATTTTAATCACAATTACTTAGGGACCCCAGAATGTTCAATTTTAAATTGAGAGTGTTGTATTAATTGGTGAGAACCATTTGAAGGTTGAAAAGTTAGTGTAACTAGGAATTCATTGTCCTTGTTCTCTATTGTCAACCAGTATTATTTTCAACATGGCACCAGTGTACTAGCACCTTTTTGCAGAAAAACATTGACGCTGCTCAGTGAAATGTATATTTATTCCCATCAGGACTGACTTGTTAGGCCAGAATCAGAATAAGTAAGTTCACATCATTTTTTTCATGGAAAAAAATGTACAGTGTATCATTCTTTTTATGTTAATAAACATGAAAGAACATTTGTAGATAATGTTTAGTGACTTGCATTTGATATTATAATATCATTATAATCATTATGTGCTAAAACTTGCCAGTCTAGAAAGGCCATGTGAGCCTGTGTATTGTTAATGAATTTGTCCACAAATTAAATACAATTTTGTGGTACAAATTATGTATAACTATTTGTTGCATCAGATGGATGTTGAGTTGTACATGTTATTTTGAGTTCCCCCTTTTTCTGGTTTAGAATACAATTTACAGAGGTGATATAGCCATCACTAGTTGCTTGAATAAGGAGCTCTGGTAGCCCAGTGCCTAAGGCACTTGACTGCTAACCAGAAGGCTGGCGGTTCAAACCCACCAGCAACTCCTCGGGAGGAAGGTTGGGCAGTCCTACTTCCATAGCGATACTGCCTCGGAAACCCAAGGAGGGGTCACTATGAGTCGGGGCGACTCAATGGCACATAACAACAACAACAGTTGCTTGAATATATAGTTCTTACCATGTTCCAGGCACAGGGACTACTGCATGAATAAGACAGAGAAGATCCCTGCTAACATGGAGCTTAGATTCTACTAGTGTGGTAGACCACAAGGAATTCTCATATGAGTGAGAAAATTTCAGACAATAATAAGTGCTATGGTAGCATAGTGCCTAAGGCACTTGACTGCTCACCAGAAGGCT